CTCTCTCTCTCTCTCTCTCTCTCTCTCTCTCTCTCTCTCTCTCTCAACGCTGGCTCACAAACTGTGAGGAAGCAGCGCAGTGAATAGGTAACGTTATGGTACAGTTTGTGCAGCAGGTGGTTGGTTCACGCAGAACGTGACGTTTCTCATATCTCTCTCTTTCTCTCGCCCGCGATATTTTTGATTCCTTTTTCGTACTCTTACGGCGGTTACACGACACGCTCTGCCTACACTGTCGGACTCGGCGAACAATGTGGCTCGGGACAGCGATAAGCCGAAAGACGCGCCGGGCGGGCCAGTCGCAGGGCCAGTGCCCGCCGAGCACAAAGGAGGCTTTCGGTTCTCGCCGGGATCCCCGCTGGCCTCGCGGCATTCCCTGCCTTTCCCTTTGACTCTCGCTATGCGTCCATATCCTCTCCAGTCTGAGACCCCTCCCCCCCCATGTCTCTCTCTCTCTCTCTCTCGATCTCTCTCTCGCTCTCTCCCTCTCTTTCTTTCTCTCTGACCCTCCCCCGCACCCCAGCGCCACCCCGCAGCCTTTTTCTTCATAAATCTACAGCCAGCCCAACGCCGTGTACACGCCGACTACAATTATGAGAGTGCTGCTCTCACGTGCAGGGAGGCGTAGCGCGCCACAGAAGGTGTAACGAGTCTACTGCAAAAAAAAAAAGAAAAAAAAAAGAAAGAAACTACTACAGAGATTATTGTAAAATCTGTCTTGCGATTCTAAAGTATCCAGTTTTAAACTGTCCGAGGTGGCTGATTGACCCAGCGCTGCCAACTCATACACTGCAAATCTCACCCGTGAAACTTTTAAAGTGTGTGTACCAAGTGTGAAAGACATGTCAGTCACCATACGTTTTGGGCTTGCATGTCCCATACGAGTGACATGTATGTGTAATACATGTGCCATGCGAGTTCCAGGTTTGCATGAAAAATGTCAGGTTTCAAACTGCTGTGCAGCGTCGTCAAAGCCTTACTGTAGCGAAGTGAAGCGCGAAGGGATTGAAAGTTTTTACCTGCACTGGATCATTCAGCTATGAAATAGCTGTCTGTTCTTTCTTCAGAACTTTATGAAAAGTTTTCACTTTTTAGTAGTTCAGGGGCACATTTTAAGTGACGGGGATGGGCCCGCCCAAGTTGACATAGCGTGACTAATAAATGAGCTGACCTGATACATTAGCGAACGGAACGGGTCCGAGTTTAGCTAGATGAGTGTTTAAAGGACACTCGACGAGGCACTCCCGGGCACTCCGCAGCGCCGGGCTGACGCGCACCTCAGGGCTGCTCCGGCAAAATGAGCTAAACTCGGACCCAGAGAGCCTCGGAGCACTGCAGAGCAAGCAATTAGCCACATAAATTTCCCAGCATCCTAGTCATGTTTTTTTACGCATGGCAAAATTAACAAAAACAACCAAGCTCCAGGAAATAGCTTAATTTCTAAGCGTGGCTGCAGCTGCTGCACGGGCGGGGGTGGTGTGGTGTCATACGGGAGAACGTCCGAAAAAACGGTTAAGCTTCCCAGTGCCCACGCTAACAGCTACTTCTACCGCCAAAAAGGCCCCTGGCATATTTGACAGCAAGTTTCATGATACTCTTCTCAGCTCACTGACGACCGCTTTATTTTTAGGGAGGACGGTGGTGCTGGAAACGTGTCCTTCAATCAATATCATTAGGCCGCAGATAGGTCCGCGTTCCAGCACTTTTGTGGGGACTTGTGTCGCGGCATAAAGACTTTTCGAAAGTGGCAGGGAGAGGAGTGGGGAAGTAGGAAAGGAACAACGTGGGCGCAAGAAAGCGTGTACAGAAGGGCGAATAAGAAACTTTTTCTTTCTAAGGAATTACCATGTACTTTTCCTCCGCTGCCTCAGTCCCGCAGCGAGTGGTCTTGTAAAGAAATTAATAACATTTCCCAAAGAGTCGCACGCACCTTGCCAGCAGCCAGGCTATGTCGGCGCGCGGCTGGGCGCTCGACCCGTACTGGGAAACCTCTCGCCTCGCCGCCCTCCAGACTTCCTCCCTCGGAGCTGCTTCATGCCGCGGCGCGGGGAGGAGGGGGGTGGCCGGTCGGCTCGAGACAGACGCGACAAGGGTGGAATTTCATCTCTCACAGCTCCCCAAGCCGGCCCGCGAGCACTCGCTCACCCGCTTCTCTCGAGGGATTGGGGCCATTTTTATAGACGATCGCCAACTGATGAGGATGGGGTAATTTATTTCAGCACAGCAACAAAGCTAATCGAAATATTTCACTTTGGCTTGGCTGCACAGCTTGCTACCCTTAAACTACACAGCAATTTTTTTGTATTTTCCCCACAAATGAAAAGCCGTGCGGATCCAGTCCACATACACAGTCCAAGAGACGGAACAACAACCGGGGTGACAGCAGGCGACGGGGGCGCGTCGTACGTAAGACACGTACTATTCGTTGCGGAGGACAAAGGAAAAACATATGATTGGGTTGTGAATTAGAGAATCCTGGGAAGGGCACACAGCAAGCGGGTTATTCACGATTCACGAGAAAATGTAAATTACAAAATGGACAGGCGGCAAGTTTATTTTGTAATGTCTCAATTTGAACACCCCCCC